TTTATTTTATTTCGATTATTCTCGCTACCGTCACCAAATCATAATGTTGTATGTCATACCATTATTATGTGTCTGTCTTTTAACTCGTGCCATTATAAATGTAAATAGTCCGTAAAACATGCTCTGGTATCACCGTTTGTGACTTGACTTGACTTGACATCTGGGTCCTCCCACCCCATGAGAACGTGTACAAATGTACCGTCATGGTAGACTCCAGGAAACGCTGCATGGTTGCAGATTAATTTCGTGCTGAACGACATCCACTTTTTTAGAAAGCTAAATTTGGCGAGATTAGATTAAATGTTGCTTGGCTGAAAACATATTGTAGACTGTAAAAGTTATCTCAACACTAATGGGTTTTGTATAGACATAATGCATACATTTATTTGTCAAATTGTCAATTAATAATAAACCCTTTATATGTGATCATAATGTAGAAAACGTAAAATTGCCATTACAGTGTATACCCGTGTGATGCGTTCTTGATACAGGGGAGAAATGTTTGTTCAGACTTACCAAATACATGCTTGTGACCTGTCTGAACAATGGTGCGGTTGTTCATGATAACTCGACTAGGCCAAGTCAGTCAATTATATGGCGGGGGCCCTATTCTGTATTCTTACTCCTTAACGGCGTGTACCCAGTTTTGAGATAATAGTATCAATTTGATTGATTCACTTTAGAGGAATGTCAGTGAGGGAAAAACACGTTTGTCGTTTTACATGGTTGTGAATAAAGTGTATCGAAAGTGCTGGACATGCAAATTTACCTGAATGAAGTTACATTGACGGACGAACAACAAATGGCCAAACTCCAACTCCCATCTTGTGGCAGGAGATAAGAGCCGCACCTAATGACTGCGACATGACTAATGACAGTATCGCTTCTCCTCAGGGAAATATTGCGTATTTGACGTATTATTTGTTAGGGGACATTTTATCACTATGGGTCAAGGCAACTCGGTGCAAAGATATTGCGATAAACATATTGATAAAACATAAGCTGATGTGTCAATATTTTGCAACATATGCTTATCAAAGATGGTTTATAAAACCGTGGCGGATGAAACTGACTTTCAGCGAGCGAGCGAGTGAGTGAGTATGATTTACGGCGCTTTTAGCAATGTTCCAGCAATGGGCTTCACACATTGTACCGATTTGGGGAATCAAACTCGGGCAGTCGGCTCTTTACGCTTTCACCACTTGGCTACCTCATCACCCCTAAATGATTCTTCTAGTGAGTGTATTAGTGGGTATTGTGTTTCAATACTTTAGCAAAGCTGATGACGGCACCAAATGCCCGTATGCTTCATTCGAGACCGTTCCACTTATTATAGAGGTATTGGTAATTAGCGTAGCAGTACGAGTTGTCATTCAGGCACACTAGGAATCGAGACGCTCTCCATGACTCCAATGATATGACTAACATAACCACTAACATCGCTTATAAGATGGCCCCCAAGTTTTAATCCACAACAGTTATGTGGATTATTCATCAAAGGATACCATACTGAATACTTTTGGTGAACAGGTCGACGACCTGCGAAGATCCCCTTCTAAACACTAAACTCAATTTGTAGATTAATATCTTTCATGAAAGGTTGGTTGGTTGGTTGGTTGGTTGTTTAACGCCGCACTCAGCAATATTCCAGCTATATGATGGCGGTCTGTAAATAATCAAACCTGGACCAACAATCCAGTGATTAATATCATGAGCATCGATCCACGCAATTGGGATCGATGACATGCATCAACCAAGACAGCGAGCCTGACCACCCGATCCCGTTAGTCGCCTTTTACGACAAGCATAGTCCCCTTTTACGGCAAGCATGGGTTGCTGAAGACCTATTCTACCCCGGAATCTTCACGGGTCCTTTCATGGAAGGAACATATGATACTAGCATACGCCCAGCTTCTGTACGTGTCCCTCAAGCTGGAAGTTACACAAGAAAGGTGGTTATTTATTAAGGACTGAGAACTATGGTGCAGTTAACACAGCCCTAAGAGGTCGGGTACGCCCCAAGGAGTCACATTATATGCATTTAACTCCTTCGGCAACAGGCCCTTGCAGTATCATATCCGCTTAGATTTGTTCGACTGAAGGCCACATTACTATGCAAGTTACACCGGGGAACGAATTACTGTGATTCACCGTACACCCAGAAGCCACAGGAGGGATAATTGGCCAGTAATTTGCCTGCGTCTCATTTCGGATATCTTAATCAATTGTCAACTTACCTCCCGTACCAACATTCTCCAGAGGCAACCTCACCTATATTATATATCGATAATGCATAATGTTTCGAAGGTGATGCGCAGTAAAGAACAACATCGTATCCCTTCAGTGACTGAATCAAGGGCAGAGTGCATAGACCCAGGTGCCTATAGGTTTTCACTGTGGGGAATCCAGGGAGGAGTATATAGACCCAGGTGCCTATAGGTTTTTAACTACTGGGAATCCAGGGCAGAGCATATAGACCCAGGTGCCTATAGGTTTTCACTGTGGGGAATCCAGGGCAGAGTATATAGACCCAGGTGCCTATAGGTTTTCACTGTGGGGAATCCAGGGAGGAGCATATAGACCCAGGTGCCTATAGGTTTTCACTGTGGGGAATCCAGGCCAGAGTATATAGACCCAGGTGCCTATAGGTTTTCACTGGGGGGAATCCAGGGAGGAGTATATAGACCCAGGTGCCTATAGGTTTTCACTGGGGGGAATCCAGGGAGGAGCATATAGACCCAGGTGCCTATAGGTTTTTAACTACTTGGAATCCAGGGCAGAGCATATAGACCCAGGTGCCTATAGGTTTTCACTGTGGGGAATCCAGGGAGGAGTATATAGATCCAGGTACCTATAGATTTTCACTGGGGGGAATCCAGGGCAGAGCATATAGACCCAGGTACCTATAGGTTTTCACTGTGGGGAATCCAGGGAGGAATATATAGACCCAGGTACCTATAGGTTTTCACTGGGGGGAATCCAGGGCAGAGTATATAGACCCAGGTGCCTAAAGGTTTTTAACTACTTGGAATCCAGGGCAGAGCATATAGACCCAGGTGCCTATAGGTTTTCACTGTGGGGAATCCAGGGCAGAGTATATAGACCCAGGTGCCTATAGGTTTTCACTGTGGGGAATCCAGGGCAGAACATATAGACCCAGGTACCTATAGGTTTTCACTGGGGGGAATCCAGGACAGAGTATATAGACCCAGGTACCTATAGGTTTTCACTGTGGGGAATCCAGGGCAGAGTATATAGACCCAGGAACCTATAGGTTTTCACTGGGGGGAATCCAGGACAGAGTATATAGACCCAGGTACCTATAGGTTTTCACTGGGGGGAATCCAGGGCAGAACATATAGACCCAGGTACCTATAGGTTTTCACTGGGGGGAATCCAGGGCAGAACATATAGACCCAGGTACCTATAGGTTTTCACTGTGGGGAATCCAGGGCAGAACATATAGACCCAGGTACCTATAGGTTTTCACTGTGGGGAATCCAGGGCAGAACATATAGACCCAGGTACCTATAGGTTTTCACTGTGGGGAATCCAGGGCAGTCTATATAGACCCAGGAACCTATAGGTTTTCACTGTGGGGAATCCAGGGCAGAGCATATAGACCCAGGTGCCTATAGGTTTTCACTGTGGGGAATCCAGGGCAGAGTATATAGACCCAGGTACCTATAGGTTTTCACTGTGGGGAATCCAGGGCAGAGTATATAGACCCAGGTACCTATAGGTTTTCACTGTGGGGAATCCAGGGCAGAGTATATAGACCCAGGAACCTATAGGTTTTCACTGTGGGGAATCCAGGGCAGAGTATATAGACCCAGGTGCCTATAGGTTTTCACTGTGGGGAATCCAGGGCAGAGCATATAGACCCAGGTGCCTATAGGTTTTCACTGTGGGGAATCCAGGGCAGAACATATAGACCCAGGTGCCTATAGGTTTTCACTGTGGGGAATCCAGGGCAGAGCATATAGACCCAGGTGCCTATAGGTTTTCACTGTGGGGAATCCAGGGCAGAGCATATAGACCCAGGTGCCTATAGGTTTTCACTGTGGGGAATCCAGGGCAGAACATATAGACCCAGGTACCTATAGGTTTTCACTGTGGGGAATCCAGGGCAGAACATATAGACCCAGGTGCCTATAGGTTTTCACTGTGGGGAATCCAGGGCAGAACATATAGACCCAGGTGCCTATAGGTTTTCACTGTGGGGAATCCAGGGCAGAGCATATAGACCCAGGTGCCTATAGGTTTTCACTGTGGGGAATCCAGGGCAGAGCATATAGACCCAGGAACCTATAGGTTTTCACTGTGGGGAATCCAGGGCAGAACATATAGACCCAGGTGCCTATAGGTTTTCACTGTGGGGAATCCAGGGCAGAGCATATAGACCCAGGTGCCTATAGGTTTTCACTGTGGGGAATCCAGGGCAGAGCATATAGACCCAGGTGCCTATAGGTTTTCACTGTGGGGAATCCAGGGCAGAACATATAGACCCAGGTACCTATAGGTTTTCACTGTGGGGAATCCAGGGCAGAGCATATAGACCCAGGTGCCTATAGGTTTTCACTGTGGGGAATCCAGGGCAGAGCATATAGTGACCTAAGTATATCACTATTACTTTAATCCACATGACATGACAAATTGACTATAGTAACATAATGATATAAGAATCGGGTGATCCTAAACATTTTTTAGTAGTATAAATTATCCGATCAGCGTCATTTACCTCGAGCTAATTACTCGATGTGTAGGGTATGAAAACGACCAAGAGCTGGACACTGATCACATTGCAGTGTATCATCGGGAGAACCGCTCTCCATAACGACTGAAACATGATGTCAGTCACTGGATTGTCTAGTCCAGATTCCATTATTTACCGACCACTGCCATAAAGCTGCAGAGCGGCGTTTGTCAAGCTACCGAAACAGCCCTTCGCCGGTGCATGGAGATGCTAGTGTTTGGGACGAGTGATCAAAACATCTCACCTGGAAGCCATCACTATACACCCTTCTTTCCTTCAGTCAGAACAACGTGGTCGGTTAGAGTCTTTGACCCCCTTGTAACTCCCCCTGACTTTACACAATGACGGGTCACATGTCCGGCAAGATTCTCCCGTATCACACTCAACCGGATCAACAGATAACAGAAATCACCTGATCGGCCCCAGCTTCCTATCGTCTCACCATCATTGTCGTCTACCTCTTCCTTGCTTATTCTCGACCAGGGCTAGAAGATATGAAGAATCGTTCATCTTGCTGCCTCTATTCTGTTCGCTCGATCGGGGCTATTGGACATGAAGACTCGTTGCGTTCGCTTTCTGTAATCTATGCTCTCTCATGTCTAGTAAAACATGAAGACTCGTCGCTCTAGCTTTCTGTAATCTATGCTCGATCAGGGCAAGTAAACATGAAGATTCGTTGCTCCACATGTTTAGCGGAATGGAAGCAGTACAACAATAATATTTAATAAATAAAAAAGTAGATATTTCCTCATCACTGTGCGGTGTGTTCGGAATGCATAAAGACTGCGATTCTAACTGCACTTTATTATTACTACATACTGAACAAAAGATGTTCGGCATCATGAATACTTTTGGGGATAGTGTATATGAAATTGTGTTCCAAGTGTCCACCACCAAAATATATCCCCAACATATTCATGAACTTTTTCTGTTCCGTATATGATGTCCAGTCTACCTGTACAGGGGTGAGGATTCGAAAGTATTCAACTCGCTTTTCTTGACAGTCTTGGGGTGAGTGAGTATGGTTTTACGCCGCTTTTAGCAATATTCCAGCAATATCACGGCGGGGGACACCAGAAATGGGCTTCACACATTGTACCAATGTCGGGAATCGAACCCGGGTCTTCGGCGTGGCGAGGGAACGCTTTAACCACTAGGCTACCCGACCGCCCCCTTGACAGTCTTGTATATAAGCCATGATTCATATACATTACACGCTTCTTACCTACTATCACGGGTGGGAATCATATGTAGTCCAGAAACATTATAACAAAGCAACTTCATCAACTTTAACTGAAGGCTTTTACAATTTAATGCGTTCAATGATTTTTGAACGCGAGCAGGTGTGGGAGGGGCCAGATCCGTTTTTGAAATCCTGTAGTTTGGAGGACACATTTTGAATTAAACCACTGCATCACCTGTGATGCGTGTAGACTGGTCCCGTGCCCAAGTTGCGCAGAGCAACATTGTACCAATCTACGTTACATGTTCGTTACCAGCGTTAACACGTGCCCGGTGCAGAGATGTAAGGTACAGACAAGGCTTCTTAGTTCTGACTCCCCGTGATGATTCTGGGGCACGATATATCCCAACTTGGTTGCCGTACGAGCAGATTCAAATGTAGACATGGGTAGCCGCAGTGTATGGCCATGGTGATGGCGCGTCGTTAGACCCACACGGCGACCAGTGGGCCTGGGTTTATCCTCGATTATTTGCAGTGTGTGAATGTTGTTCAACGCCGCAGACAGCAATGTTCCAGTTTTGCCACAGCGGGCTGTAAATAATCGAGACAAACAAGTGACTGACGCATGCGCAGCGACCCACGTCGTCACGATGCGATGACACCCAATCAGCAAGGTCAGATCTAAAGTCAACAAACGATCCCCTTTAAGACGTCTCTACTCCGGACCGTTCAGCATCCTATGCTAGTCGTAAGAGGCGACTAAGAAGGATCGTTTCAGACACACTGACTTAGTTGATGGATGTCATCGCATCCCAAAGGCGTCACTGCAAAAAAAATCCATCTATACAAGCTTGTATATGCTTTGGAATAATGATATTTCCAAAGCATATACAAGATTGGAATGATGATATATACAAAAATTTACAAGTTTGTATATATGACATATACAAAAATATACAATTTTGTATATATAATGTATCCAAATTTGTTTTCTTTGTATATATTGGTAAAGGGAGATAATTGTTATGTATTCGTGTATAATTATTATAAATGTGCAAAATGAAGTGTTTTAAGTTGAGCACTGTGTTTCTTTGTGTATGTTGGTAAAGGGGGGACAATTGCTATGTATTGTTCTATAATTGTTTTGTATGTGTAAAATAGTATTAGCAAGTTCCAAAAAAATGATATAGTGGCATGTAACATTACTGGAATGTTTAATTAGTACTCCACACTGTTAGCGGGAGTACATACTCTCTCCCTGCAATGATATTGACGGGTAAGCGATTGAGGCGTCTGGTACTTTTCCTGGCGCGGTGCTTGGTATGTGAGTAGACGTTATGATCAAATGCATAGAGAGGATTAGCTGTTGGGGGTGATTGCATTGGCAGTGACTTCTGTGTTGAAAGTGTTGAAATCGATTTGTGCTGAGCTTGGATTCGTTTGTACGGGGAGGCCGCGATGTGATTTGTAACATGCTCTCGTGCACATAGCAGATTAGCCTACAGAGTGGATTACACAGAGGATGAAAACTATTTTATTTTATCATTACTTAAAAGTGTTGAATTTTGTTTGTTCTGAGCTGTCGGTTTAATTGTAGGGTATACATTGTTATAATGTCAAATGTCGGCGGAACGCGGAATATCACGTTTTTTAAAAAGGGCAGTCCTTGGTAAATTCCTCTTCAAAATATAATCAGAGATTTTTTTTAAAATACTCCGAAAATATCGTGTTGCCGGACAACCGTGGCGGATTGTCCTCTTTTCGATCAGAGCCCGCTATCAGTGCTACCCAACCTCTAACTGGACAAGTCCACTTTAGTGGAATGATGCCGATAGGCGACAAAAGACAGAAAATTGTATGAAATCACTTTTTATTTCACATTGCCACAACACAAACAGTAATGATTTATGATTTCTGCATCATTGCATTGGTTCTTATAGTATACACCAGCAGGTATTTGATGATTTCAAGGAAATCTAATATTGGAAGAGTTCATTCCTAGCATGGGTATGTTGTTTTCATTGTGTAGGCATTATTCCACACTGCTTTATTTTTTTGTAGGCAATAGTAACTGTAGGCAAAAGTGGACGTAGGCATTAGTGTCTGGAACCAAAGGTGGCCGTGTGCGCGGAAGCTGTTCCCGATTTTTTAAAAGTACTGATTTAACTCTGCCACTGTTAGATTTGTTGGTATGAATATTGTCCAAACGGTACGAAATTGCTTAAAATGCAATCAAATGTTTAAAACATTTCTGGGGTCTCAGCCTAATATCGTTAGCAAAGTCAACAAACTACGACCGTAAATGTAATGTACAACAGGCGCAAGAAAATTAAAAAATTCTTACTAATACAAATGAATACTTATACCTGTACTTTTTAGAACAAGAAATTGACACATTGACGTATTAAGATTAAATTGATATTGTCTTTACTTATGTAAATGCAAATGATAAAAAAATATTCAACAGTGAGATACTCTGGCTATTGCGCAAAGAATCCAGTCCCAATGAACGTGAACAGCATGCCGATGTTTTACAAAGCAATCATATAATATAACGCATCTGATAGTTCTTAACAATCAGGCAATCAACATAATGACGGTATCAGTGGGCACATCGTGGTATTTGAAGATAAAAAATGATAACACATGTCAGCAGTCTAGGAAGTTATACACGGCATCTTGACAATGAACAAAAAGAAGAAGAAGAAGAGTTTATTAAAGTGTCACTATTTAAACATCCAACCATTTTGGCTTACGAGACAAAATACACATCACACCCCCATAGAAGTACCACGAACACACACATCCGCAAATTCAGTCACTAACCAACCCACATATAACTTACCTACCTACCATCTCTCCTGGTCAATTGCTGTGAAAGCATTGTCATCTGATTAAGTTTACATACATGCCTATTCAGTACACATCTAATTAGTTTTAAAACATGCATATCCTGTTATTTAAATTGAGAAGACAAAGGTTTGACACCAGATCATGTAACCGGATCCTTCAGCGAATGTGCCTTTGAGATGATATGACTTTAAAGTGCTATTTGGTACATTACAAAGAGTTGTGAAATGCTTTCAAAAGCGACTGTCGTCAACTACACGGATACATGCCACGCCGACAGCAACCGATCCACGGCAACAGCGTCTAGACTCACACTGATATTAGATTTTTGTGAACGCGTCTTTATAAATATGTTGAATGAGGTTTTTGTATTTGCTATGCGTCCTTACAGTCTCAGTCTCCTCTTATATTAAATCTCAGTAGGTATCTGTTTCCCCGATATTTCATGGACACGGGAACGTTGTCACTTGTTGTTCCAACACATGATATGTATGTAATGGAGCATAGGACAACAACAACAACAACAAACGTTTATTTCGCTTCAAGGTCATAGCTATGACAGATTGAAGGTACAAATGGAGATTTATGGTGACACGAGGCAGGAGACGGACGTGCGTCAACTATACGTTTAACTGCAGCAGACTCATAAATTTAATTAAACATCTTGAGGATTTCTTTTACAAACTGTGCTAGTTTTCTTTGTTCTAATACACTTTCAGTATTTAGTAGCATATCAAGTGTAGGAAGAATGGTCTTATACTTTGGTAAGTTAAGCAAGAACTTTAGACATGGCAATTAACACATAATCTATGTGTCATAATCTCTAGGCTCCAACTATAACAAAACACATATAGCTCAAAGGAGCTGAATACATTTTCCCCATTCAACTACTGCAGTGTCTGTCTTGATACAGAGCTCAGTGTCTTGGTGAATCATTATAGACTCACAATGGGAATTTTGCCTTGTGAAAACCACCCTGACTAGATCTGTGCATTGTAGCGTACGTGACATTCTACTGGGGAACTACGGGGAAATAATTCATTCATTAAGACCTCTTCTTAATGACGAATACATACACATCCACTTGATAATTAATTCGTGTCAATGTATGTGACATAATTATATTCTCAGTTAGTACTGACCGTTATTCATTATCAAACAAATATAGGTTGTGATATTTAAAGTTTAAATTTGTCATTCAAAGTCGGCATGGAGCGTTATTTGTACAGGTGCGTTGGTTATTTAAACTCAGTATGGAGCATTAGTCATTACCAACATAACATAAGGTGTGTTATATTCGTTCTAAAAACCTATTGGGTGTAATTTTCCAAGTTTCTGCACATGAATTTACATTGCCTATACTTGTTATGCTGCATTATAAGAACATGTGGCACTGTGCGTCTGCCGCCTAATACATTTATATATGCCACA